TTATGTTAGGGTTAGATAAACCCTGTTTGTTGAAGAGTTCAGTGTAGTTTATGGTGGGTTGTATGCTAAAAAGCCTGGGAACAGGAGATTAAGAATGATGCAGTGCAATACCGCAAATTGTGCTTGCTTACAACTTCATGCATCCACACCTTGCTTTGATCTTTAAGGCTCAAATCCAGATGTAGATAATAGAGTGCCTGGAACCAAGAAAGATGCCTCAGATTGTCTTGATTGCCTATTGCTTGATAAAGCATTTGGGCTTTACTGCATTGCTAGAGGAGTCTACCTGTGAGTTAATGCATGGGTGCTTTCTCCTTGTATCAGTAGTTGACAAGGTTTGCCATTAGGCTAACGATGGAACAGTGGTGCTTTGGTTTATCAAATACACTGTGTTTTTTCAGAGCACACCATATGGGTCAGTGGGGAGCTAATGAGATCATAATGGATTAAATGGAGGACATTTCCCACCAATTAAATATAAGATATTCTCACACCATGCTGGTATTTTTGTCAACAAATATATATATATATTTAATGAGCCCATTTGCCTTCTGTCTGTTGCAGTACTGATTTACACAGTGACTATAAGCACCGCCTCCATTTGTTGTGAAGGAGCCTCATGGCACAGTGGCTAAACTGCTGTACTGCAACCAAAACTGTGCTCATGACCTGGGGTTCAATCCCAGGTTGACTCAGCCTTCTATCCTTCCAAGGTTGGTAAAATGAGTGCCTAGATGCTGGGGTTGGACGATGTGTAGCCGCATAATTAACTTGTAAACCACCCAGAGACTGCTTTAAGCATTATGGGGTGGTATATAAGCAACATGCTTTGCTTTTTAAAGGCAAAGCCATTTGTAGAAACAACTGTGCCATCTGTTGTCAGGTTATCAAAAGATACCTTTGTTGTCCCTCTTTCCTGCATGTGTACTTAATAACTCAACACAGTAAAAGTAATTGAGTCCCATGAGTATCTTTTCTATAAGTCTCCTTTGACCTACACCCATAGAATATATATATTCATATTCTATTATCTATTTCATTATTTATTCTATTTCATTATTTATCTTGCTCACAGTGTTCATCTGAGTTTTTTCTGCTTTAGGAAAATTTCTTTACTTCCGAACTTCTCTTATAATATTTCTATTTGATTTGATTCAATCATAAAAGAGTTTTGCAAATCTATTCGTTTTTACATTTCCGCTACTCTTTATATGTTAGATTGATACTTTATGAACAAGCAATTCCAATAATAAACTTAGCTTACATTAGCGGGAAATGTACATCCTGTTAATATGTTTAGAATGTAATCCTGCAGTATTAGTAAAACATAGTTTCTTCAACTTTTAAATTTTAGAATCATCTTACAGTAATCATAGTTGTCATGTTGTTAAGCTAGGCACTGAATATAAAAAGGAGATGAGGGTATTTCAAAATTATATGAATGATATGGGAAGCTCTATCAAGTGTGAGCTAGACCTAACAGTTATGATGCAAGCTACATCATACTTTGGGTTTTCTGAATTCAAATGTGTAACCAAATATAAGATGAGCAAGCCTTGCACGATGTAGGCTTCAGATTTAATTCTATGCAGAGCAAGTAGAATTCCTTTAGCACTTATGAGTAAGACATGTAGTCCTATCATTATAATACATTGCTTGAGTTATTTTGTTCCTATACAAATGGCAAGCATAGATAAATCCTATTAATGAGCAACACAGTGCATGCAATAATTTTCTTCTGCTAATTATGCATACTCTGCAAAAAAGAGAAACTTATGCCAACTCTAAACCAAAGTATTCTAAGTATAAGGTTCCTACTGGTACCATAAACTTTAAAACATGTGTTTATAAGATCTATGAAAATCAAAGGTAATTTCTGCCATAATTAGACCTCTTTTCTAGCAGTTCAAAGAGAGGCATTAATCTTTTTCAGGGGGAAAAACATTGTGGCACCTTTAATACTAAGTGGTTTATTTCTAGTGCAAGCTTTCATGATGCATGGAGTACAATATCTGGGCTGCAGATTTATCATTCTTATTTTTTATTTTTATTTTCCTTATATAGGTAGGGTAAGGTAAGGGGCAGCTGGCATAGGGGTACCCTTGGAGAGGGTGGATTTGAATGGATACATTACAAATCAATATTTTTCATAGTAATTCTATACATTCTCTTCCTAGTAATAGTTCCGCATATCATAAAGATATATAAACATTGAGCTAGAGGGAACAATCAAATTCAGACAGATATATTGTTATTCTCATTATTGATTATGTAGCTGATAGTCTTTATCCATAATTTATTCTGTTTCTTCTGCAGCCATAAAAATAACTATGTATCAGTCCACTATTCTATCTACCTTGTAACCATGTATATAATTGTGACCAAATTTTCTGATGGTCTTTTTTCTTTTTTGCATCTAACCAATCTGATAGTACGTCCATTTCTGTGGTTTCAAGTGTTTTATCTATCACTTCATCTATTTGTGATGTTCTAGGTTCCTTCCATTGTTTCACAAAAACTATTCTTGCTGCTGTTATAATATGAATAGTTAAATATGATTTTTCAGAGTCTAGTATATCTGGCAAGATACAGTATATGTCTGGGCTGCAGATTTAGATACAGTGTGCATGATGGGAGCAGGGTCAAGTAGAAATGGAATCAAATATGACACTTGCATTGTTAGCACTTGATAATAAGCTTCTAAGGCAACAAGGGACACTGAAATTGTAGTGCACATTCAAAGTGTTGTTTAGATTAACATTCTGGCAAGCCTTGCATTAAGCAAACACAAATGATTTGAGTTTCCAGTACTTGAATTTTATGTCACACTTTCAGATATCAACATTCATAGCCTCATGCTAAAGGTGTTTACTCAGAAGTACACCTTCTTGAACTGCTGGATAGCTCAGTGGTTTATCTATCTGGCTGTAGAGCCGGTACTTGGGAGTTCAATTCCCCACTGTGCCTCCTTGACAGGGGCTGGACTTGATGATTCATAGGGTCCCTTCTAACCCTGCAGGTCTTAGATTTCTTCATTAGTAACTATACTTTTTCAGTGCTCAGCAAAGAAAAGCTCCTACCTCCAACCATCACTTGCTGAACTAAAAGAAGAGCTTTTCCTTCCTGGGGAGAAGGGGCAGGCAAGACCTGGTGAAAAAGCTTGCAGGATGGATGGGGACCATAGCCAAATCAAAAGTATGCCTTGGTTTATAGGACTGCAGTCTCAATAGTCTGAACACACTTTTCTTATAATGTACTGGTTTCCTATAAGACTCCATGAGTTTTTTCCTGCTGACGCAACACAGATACTTAAAAAGATAAACTTAGAATCTTGAAGCCTTCAGCTCCCAGCTTTTAAAAGTTGAACTTTAAAGGAATAATAGTTCCTACGGCTTTCATAGCTATTTGAATGCATTCATTTAATATCTGTGTATGCGTGTGTGTGTGTTTGTGTATTAGAGATTGTGCAGATTTGCAGGAAAAAGAATGAAGCACTCATCTAAAACCCACTGTGTAATTCCAAGATGGCCCTTAACTCTTCAAAGCCTCCTCATCTTTCTTCCTGATGCCACATCTCTTGTAATGCATTCAAAGCAACCACTTCAATTACTGTATTACGTAAATCTTCCTGATTTTGAAACTGTTTCATGCTCTTTAATGCAACCAACGGTTAAGTGAATGACAATTGTTATAGTCCTAAAAATGAAACTAACCAAGACAGTTACAAAAAAGCACCCAAGCATGGATTTATAGAAGCCCAGCTGTTTAAAGGCAGCACAGAAATTCTTCTAACACAGGAGACAAAAATTAGATTTCCCTCTAGCAAAGACAGAATCGTCGATCATCTGAGACGACTGCAAAATTCCTTTCAATAACTTTTTTTGCGTTGTCTCTTTGTCTTGAAAATGCTCCCAATCAATAGTTGCTACTGCAGAAAAGTAACTCTCACATACAGCAGCCCTATCTTTGACAACTGTAACTGCATTCTAATGCTTATGTTTCAGTTCCAATTACTTGGTCACACTGGAGCTCTTGGTTCAAGTATTTTCCAAATTGTTTTGATTGGTTATTAGATCAGATGAGACACAAGTCTACTAGCTCTTCTGCATGAGTTGGATGGGGGCAGGATGAGACATTCCACTATTTGAGGAGGGTCTTCAAATGTACCTGTGCTCCTGTCCCTGTTGCTATGGTGCCCCCTTCCCTGCTGCCACCACAGACTATATACAAATCCCCTTTCCCCTTTTTTTGGCATATAATGACAATCATAAAGTCTTAGACACAGAGATTCATCCAGCAACTTGGCTGTCAACTGAGGTCCTAGGCATCCATCTGCCATGGAATCCTAGCCAAAATTTGCCAATCTGCATATCACAGCAGGCTAAGCACAGTGAAATCCAGCAGACGAAACAGCCTATTCAAGAAAGGGGTCCAGGAAATAGGGTATTTTTGAGAAGGATTAAGACAAATATAGGCTTACTGGAACTTATATTGCCTTTAAAAAAACAAGACTACCTCAGACACAATTTTTTTTACAGCATCTGCTCTCAGGAATTAATTGTGGTTGTAACTACTGTTAACAACATTCATAGGTTTAGGCTGAAAAATTTGATCGTTTTCAATAAAATGAATATTTAATTGATTCCTTCCTCTTCCCCTAGTCTGGAGAAAAAATTTGATCGTTTTCAATAAAATGAATACAGTATTTAATTGATCCCTTCCCCTTCCCCTAGTCTGGAGATACTTATTTTATTTATTTATTTATTGGATTTCTATCCCGCCCATCTAGACCAAAGGTCTACTCTTGAACATATCCTGTGAATTCTCTCTTGACCAGCTGATTCAAGGCAAACACACACAATAAACAAGTTTGTAGGCACTTTAAGAAATCCAACTCATAACATCTTATGTATTGGATGCTATGTGAGATACCCTGAACTGCACACATTTCCCACTCTGCTTCCATAGCTGTTTCCATGCAGAGTAAAGAAGAAACTTACTTTTATACGTTATTCTTGTTATGGTGTCCCTGTTAAGCATACGATTTAGAAATGCATTTGATGATTCAGATACCTGTGAGGGAAAGAATTCACTGTCAAAGACTAGTCACAAATGTCTTAGGAAAGTGCACCTATTTCTTGTGGGGGTGGGCACAGCAGAGTAGAAAACCAAAGACAGAATTTCAGCTGGAAGGAAGGCAGCTACAGCCCCCATGAAGTTGCTGCTGGCGTGTGTTTCACTGAGGGTCTCTTACAAATAGTAAGGTTTAATGGAAACAGAAGAGACCTATGTTTTGAATCCTCAGTTTATAGTATGTATCTGTGTTATCATCCTAGTCTTCTGCAAACCTGAATCATGTGGGGTGTGGTATTCAGGGGTACAAGCCACAGTCTGGCAAGACTATGTTGCATAGTCAACATGCTCACTTGTCCATTTGGACAAGACTGTCCATACCTGATCCATGATCCAACATCTGTTGTATAGAACAAAGAGGCATTATTATAAGTTATGTATGAGTGCTGAGTGACTTGCAGGCACTGGGAATGCTAAATGAGCAGAGCTTGGCAAAGTAGCGTTTTTGGACTAGAACTTCCCAAATGGCCTGTGGCCATACTGGCTAAGAGCTTCTAGGAGTCCTATTGCCAAGCTCTTAGAATGAGCATGCTGAAAAATGTGTTAAAATACTCCTGTACAGCCATATGTGGCATGTGAATCCAACACTATGCCTCCAATGGTGCTTCTCACAAGCTGGCTGCCCAAAAGATACCCAATAGTCTATAACCTTTTTTTTCACTTGTACCTCTTGACATCCTATTTCCATAAATTGTAACTTTCATATTAGCAACTTGTTTGTAATTAATATGGCTGCATTTATTTTAAATGTATATGTTGTAACTGTAAATAAATAACTCAATAATGGGTTTAAAAAGCAATGGAATAAGGTGAACAGACAGCGCAGATATATGTACATTTGAAACCCAAAAGATAGAATGAAATAAAGTAAATACATCAAGGAAGACTCGAAGAACTCACCCACTGAACACTCCTCACAGGACTGACTGAGCTGCCCCTCCCCAAGTACTGGCGCAACAGCATTCAAATGTTTGCAAAGTGAAGGAGAGTGAAAGCTGAATCTCTGAGGGGCACACCACTGAGCCTGCACACTATAGTACTGTGGTCGCAACACATTGTTTATGGAGGGTCTCCCCACGATTCACCAAAATAACAGAGTGAGGGAACAGGGCTTTTCTTGAAGTTAAATAATGAAGAAAACCCACTCTGCATTCAATTATTTTCACAACTTTTTATTTTTATCTTGTTTTATACAGTTGAACTATCCGCCTTTCCCCACCATTATTCAATCCCCTCCCATCCCTAAATGTCCTGGTTTGTACCCTTGGGGATATGGGTACCCCAGATTGGGAACCACTAGTCTAAAGTAATCACACCGAGCTGCATCTTTCTCTCCTTTTGAGGAGACTGTAGCTCAGTGGTAGAGCTCAGTGTTTTACATGTGAAACCCTGCTTATTGAGAGGCAGGACAGAACACTATTGGTCTTCCTGTATCTTACACACCAAAGTGCAGACATTATGATTGGAAACAAGGCCATTAGAATCTGATCTGATGCTTGGTTAAGTTTTCATATAGTGTGCATGAGCCCAGCAAACAAAGCAGGAGCAAAGCTGACCAAAATCTGATTACAATTAATCAACATTTGACTTTTTGATTCTTGAGTTTGGGTCACATGATAAAACAGTAACTGGTATATTGGAAGAGGCATTCAGATTTTTTTAAAAGAGGCTCCCTCTGCTGAGCTAATCTTCAGAATTCAGGGAGCAGCAAATCCTGCCTGTCTTATTGGACTAGTTTTCTGGCTCCCCATCTCTGAAGGAACACAGTACACTGTTTGCAGGAGAGCAGGGCGAAGACTGAACAGAATCTGGAATCTTATTTCATCCTCAAGTACCTGTCAGGGTGGAGTGGAGACACTGCTTCTATTCCATGAGCTGCTGTTGTTGTGCAATGGGGGAACATTCAAACATTACCCTGCAGAGGTTTTCTAAGCAAAGGAAACAATGACCCCTTTGCTTATCCGTACTTATTCTTGTTGGAAACCCAAAGGCAACTAGATAAAAGCATTGTTTGATGTGAAAGAGAGGGAGGCTACATAAGAAAAAATTCTTGTTACTGGGCTTATGAAAAAATAATTGCTACATTCTCCATACCACTCCATTTAGGCAGTTTTGGATGAGGAATCTGGGAGCCTTGTGTGATTCCTTGCCTCCTGGCAGACAAGTCAAAGGGCTTTGTTAAGATCTTGGTAAACACAGAGAGTACTTTAGTACTTGCTTATTGTTAAGCAAGATGTGAATAACTCATCTAAGGCTGACCAAAGTACATCAAATAAAGCAGACATTTTTGCTTTGTTTTTGTTGCTCTACGTACTGCTTTATTACTGTACTGCTTTATTGCCTTGCTTATTATTTTACTCTGTGCAAGAGAAGAAAATAACCTCACAAATGTAAGGAACAGTCAAAGACCACAGTAAAATCACGGGCGGTTTTTGCAGATGAGAAGAATGAAGAGATAGATCCTCTTGATGGCATACAAGGATAAGGCAATAAGGACTGATAATCTGAGTTGTTGTCGCTGCGATTATTATTAATCATCACTTATTTGCAATGTGAGGTCTGAGTTACTACGCTACTGGATCTGAAAATATGATCTAGTGCCAACTAGTTGAAATTTGCAGTAGCCAGAATTTGTTTGGCCCTCCTCCATCCCTCACACTGCCAAAACACCCAGCACACGGACCACTTTTCACCAAGTGCAGTGGATCAAAATCTGACAACCCATGCTGGGCATAAAAAGGCTGGAGATAAGAAGGGGCAGATGGGAATAGTGAACTCCTACCTTCTCGGTCCTGCTGGCTTAGGGATTCTGAGAACGGCAGTGAAAAAAGTAACTTCTCTGAGCTCTCCAGTGGGCAAACCTCCTCATACTCCAGGAAGGCTTAGGAAGAACCCATTTCTTCATAGGGAGAGATTTATCATAGTATAAGGGTGACTGCTCTCAGCCACTGAAATCAGAGCTATTTACATATAAAAAGGACATTTGGTTGATTCTTTACATGTACTGAAAGGTTAGCATCTTTAAAATTACAGCAGGACTGTGATATCCGCAAGATCAGTTTCACTTCTCTGTTGTCTGAAGATATTAAATAAAACCCTCCAAAAATATGTGTTTCCAGTGTATATTATCAGAACTGGCCACTAGAAGGAACCAGAGACTATGCTTTCTATAGCACTTCTATAACCACTCTTTTCCACTTCTGCGATGTGGCAGCAGCTTGGAACCAATCCCCTGCAGATACTGGGGCCCTACTGTATTTTAAGCAGCATATAAGGAAGGAGGAATGTAAGCAGCAGGGACTCCCTATAATGAGTTCCACTATTTTCTTCCCAATTATTCACATGGTTGTTCACCTGTTGGATTTAATTATATTGAAATTCTTTTTAAAAAAAATCAGAACGTTTGTTTAGATAGAAAACGTTTGCATTTATGGATGGTGCTCCATCCTTAATTCCACATTGGAGCCCTTATGGGCCCAGAGGATAACTCATTATCTGTGCAAGCTGAATCTTGGTGTTATCCACAAACTACTAAAGAATCATTGTTTAAAAAGAGAGGAAGAAGATGAGGATCAAGTGGTATAAGAGGTATGAAAAGAAGAAACCAATTGGTGTTCTAAAAGCATCTGCAGAACTTCAAGAAGAAAATCTGTTAGCTTTTTAAAGCACAGAAAGCGACTTTAACAGTAACTGAGTTTCCCACTGAGGAGGGAGCCAGAGTGATGGCTTTCCATTTTAATAGCATTTTACAGCAGGATCCTTCCCAAGCTCTCCACATCTGGTTTTTCCCAAATGCCCTTGTCTGCATCCAGGGGTGGTTTGTTGTCTGTGCAGGGGCTGGCACATCAACCCTAAATTTTGGGACAGGCCCTCCTGCTTGAACCAAACAGTGCCACACAGCTGGGAAGGACCAGGTTTGGCAAGGATGTTATCAAGCTATGATGGTGCTGTCCTTAAATACTGAGCAGCACCTGAGCACAGGCAACCACCAATATTCCCAATTACGTAACATTTTCTTAAGGAAACAAAATTCAGTGTTTTAAGAAATTATACCGTACTTACTTTCATAAATATAGAAACTACCACCAAGCCATTGGGACTTTTTGCAGCTTCTGTAACATTTGTATATAATTCATGGTTATAGTGGATTAGTTGAACCTAAGGACAGAGGGGAAAATCAAAATTAAATACTGGAGAATCAAGTCCACTGCTTTCTTCCAAAAAAACAAATACCACCTTTATCAATGCAGATTTGTTTGCAATGTGATCTCTACCAAGCTTGTAAATTTCATAACAGCAGTTTTTTTCCTGGAGGTTTTGCTGCCCACATAATTTTAATAATCATGGTGTCCATCTGGCTTGTACTGGCACTGCACCAATTGTTTCTGCTCTCTATTGTCGAAAAGTGAATTTAGCACATTAAGATGCAAAATGAACTGCAGAGGTCAGCACCATTCTCCTGCTGCTACAACAGCTACTTTGCTGTAATAATCAAGGGATATGCCTGTTGTTTGGCATCCCAAGCTCCAGCGAGGGATGGTTGGAGGTGGATCTTTTGAACAACGCTGAGAGAAAGAAATGGATACTGCAAAGTCCTACATATCTGCATCACATTTAGTCAAGATTCAGAAAAAGCTACTCCTCAAGATGAAATGACTGAAGTTACTGTCTTCAAAACATTACGTAGCAACAAGAGCTACACAACTTATATGTGAAATGCAGTGGTCTCTGCCCTTCAGGAATATTTACTTGCTTTGTCTGCTATATAAAAAAAGGAGGTGAAACCTTCCCATTCTCCCTTTAAGCACTGAAAGGCTACAGGCACCCAGGAGAGTCTAACAGGAGACATTTGTCCCTTGGACCAGATGCTGCTGAGCTGCAGTTCTCAGTGTTCCTCACCATTAGCTGGCTAGGGCTGATGCCAGCTGCTGTCTAATGACATTTGGAGGGTTACAGCTTTTCACATTTTTGCCCTAATGCGTGGAAAGAGGGCTTCTGTTGTTTGTAAACTGCAAATGATGGAGACTTGAAACAACCGTGTAGCCATGTGTAGACAGTGGTGCAGAGCTCATCATGCCATTTCAAACAGATATGCCCCTAGAAATGTTCAGGGCTGTGCCACTATGGAGAGCATAAAAATTCAGGCGTAAGTGTTGATGCATAGGCAGATCTATATATATATATATACACAGCTGAGAGGACCTGGATTTAGGTAGCTGATTAGTTACGATTTTCACTAGATGAGAAAACTGCTGTGGTGGGTAACAAAGAAACCATGTCTTAGGCAAGACCCATTCTTTAAGTGCCTAAGCCAGTGACTATGGCAAACGTCATTCCAGCAGATCTTAGAACAGCTGTGGGTGGGGAAAAAAAAGGACCAAGGTTTTTGCTCCCCTTCACATCTGGCCCATCAATGTATATGGCATAAAGTCTTTTTGTGGAGTAATAGTGCATAAACCTAGACCATGGAAAAACATTTCACAAAATAACCAATACACTTTGGACAGGCATCAAAAACTGTAGGCTATTAAAAGCAACCATGATGAAGGGAGGGGAAATTTTGACCAGCTGAACCCCTGAACCATGAGTTCTTATCCATTTAGCCTTAAAATCAGCGCTCAAAGTAAAGCCACTATCTTGTGTTTACTCATCAAATTCTATTTTTTAAATCCCTCATGCAACAGGACAAACAATGTTGCATTGTGTGATTTTTTTTGTGGGAAATTTCCGATTGTAATGAGAATTCCAGCATATTGCATGGTATAAAAATGCCCTGTGTCCAAAGGAGTGTTTATATGTGGAAAACTAACCGTGTCTCCCCTCAACATTCACAACCAGAAAATGGTATTTGTATGACTTAATGGGCAGTAGGAAATATCAATAATGATTTCTTGTTCCAATCTATAAAACCCTAAATGGCTTGTGCCCAAGCTATCTCAAGGACTCCATCTTCCTTTATGAACCTGCTTGGGTGTTAAGCTCATCAGGAGAGGTCTTCTTCTCAGTCCTACCACCTTCCAAGTGCCTTTGATGGAGATACAGGAGAGGGCTTTCTCTGTTGCTGCTCCCAGACACTGAAACTCCTTCCCACAAGAGGCCAGAGAGGTCTCATTTTTGTTGTCCTTCTGCAAGCAGACCTTTCTCTTCAGGCAAGCTTTCTCTGAGTGACTGGCAGCCTGAGTGGGGTTGTTAAATGGTTTGTTGTGTGTTACTGGTTCTGGTGTTGTTTTTGTTCATGTGGTGTAGTGTGATATTTGACCCTTTCACATATTTGTACACTTATTGTTTTTAGCTTTAAATATTGTCTTTTAATGATATGAGTTGCTTTGAGTCCTTTTTAAGGGGAAAGGATGGTAAAAATATTTTAAATAAAATAAATAATAAATAACTTTTGAAGGATGGTAAAAATATTTTAAATAAAGTAAATAATAAATAACTTGTGGCAGTTCATTGCCAAAAGTAATAGAAATGGTGTTTGGCTGGCAGGCATAATAAATAGCATTCTAGTCAACATTGGATTAAAAAATGTGTATGTCTTGGTTTGTAGTGTAGTTCTTTATCCTAGTAAATTACAGTATCCCCTCAGTTAAAGAAATTTTGATTTCCTCAAGTCGGACCAATCTCCTGGGCAACAAAACATGTCCGTTGTGCTCCGAAGCCTTATGGTTCAATTTTTTTAAAAAAAAAAATGGTGCGGAACCTTTTTAGTCTCAGAATACAAGTGATTAATTGGGCTGGCATAACTCTATGAACATAAGTTTCAATGGCAAATTGGCACTTGCAAGCCTTATCACGTACTAAGTCATGTGACTGGTGTGTGGCAGAAAAGGCAACCATTAACTTCTAAAGTAGTGGCAATTCACCACTGAGGTTTATATCAATACTCTTACAATGTTGGATATACATATCACAATTCTGGCCAAATTTTTTTGTCTATTGACTTGGAAGCCAAATGGGAAAAAGCCAGTATATTTGGCGAATAATTATGGTTTTGTTTTTATAGGAAAAAATTGTACTTGGTAGATATCTGAAATTTGAGGAAAATGTTACCACTGTATAGGAGACAACGATATACAATGTAGATGTAGTACAATATCCATTTTTCAAAATGTCTCAGGAGAACTAAAATGTCCCATTTTAGCACATAAGGGTTAAAACCTGTAAATCTATAAAAAAGAGGGTGTCATCCATAAATTGAGTTCTTCACTGTAAAGTCATTTACAAGGATTACTGTACTCCCAACACAAGGAGTAACTGCTGTTACCACCACCCAGAAGCCTTCACCACCAACTGTGCTGGCTGGGGTTTCTGGGAGTTGCAGTTCAAAAACATCCGAGTAACAAAAAAGGTTAAGAACCACTGGTGTAGATAATGTTTCCATGTGGACGTTTAGGCAGATCTATATATACTTAGCAAAAATACAACAATATATTTTTTTTTAAAAAAAAACCTTGAAAGGGATGGAACACGTCTAGGCAACCGAAGAACAAATCTATTTGTTAAAGTTATTAAGAATCTTCTAGAACAAACAATCTGAGTTGCATTGTTACATCAACAGTTATAAAGAAGGAGAAAAAACTGAGCAGAATCTCTGGCATCTAGAGGTTTTGAGAAGCAGGGCAGAAAAAAACAGGACAAAGCTGATGTGACTGGTGAATGGAATACTTAGGATAATTCACAATTGCTGAAGGGTTCCATTTGAGTGCCTCAAGAGTCCTCTCATCTGGAACATCCTGTGGCCTATTAAGGACTGCACAGGCCTGGCAATCTTGTAAAAACTGCACTCATGTAAAAAATGGCAATTCCACGGGGCTTGTATATCTGCAGCAGCCTTAATTCTTTGTTGTGTGCCTTCATGCGCTTTCAAGGTGATAAGACTCAAGGAGTGGCTTTACCCGTTCCACATCCCAGTGAGTTTCCATGACTGTGTGGGGATTTGAACCCAGGCCTTCTGAGCGCTAATCATCAGTCTATCCACTACACCACACTGACTAATCCATCAGTCTATCCACTACACCACATTGGGTATCAAATTTTGTTTATAGCAATATGTTTTTTGGACCCCAACCACTGAGGGAATGGAGATGGCCACTGATTCCTTCACTCAGGTAGATGGGCCACTCTGTACAAATGATGCTAAGATTGCAGCTTTGCCCTTAGAGGAGATTGTATGTACGTAGTAGTAATGGGCATCCAACACATGAACCACTCCTTTAAGAGCATTCTGGAAAGTCATAGACAAAGAGTTCAAGCAAACACTAAGAATGTTACAATGTCACATAAAGTAGTGCAGCTGCAAATTCAGAAATGCAGAGTGCCTTCATCACACACACAATCTTCCCATGTGAACTCCCCCTTCTTTCCTGAGCGTGCATGAACACATACACATTCACATGCTCCAAATTATGACTTAGCTGCAACTACCAGGGAGGCAGGAATCCATGGGGAGGACATTCAGAGACCTGCTCCTTCATCTTCATCTTCTTTCATCTTGCACAGCTTGTGAAAGGTGGAGACAGCAGTGGTTGCCGGGGCTTGCCTACTAGGTCCCCTTGCACTTCTAACCCTTTCCTCCTCCTCCTCCTGGACTCAACAGTAAGACACACCCACCCACCCGGAGAGCTGGGTGTGAGAGCAGATGAGAAACAAAGATTCCAAAAGTCTGGTCAGCCAGTTTCAGGATGGCTCCTCTTCTGGGTTTTAGTTGACATCTTATATACACTTGCTGACAAAGACTGGAATGCAGAAAGCCAAGCTGCACCCAAGCCATGCTAGGCAGGCAGTCAGGAAGGAAGGAAGGAGAGCCCAGCGCCCGCTGCCTTGAACCAAGTGTGAGGTAGGACGAAATTCCTCCCCAACCCGAAAGGAAGCTGGTGGAGGAGAGAATACAGTCATGTGAAAAAGAAAGTACACCCTATTTGGATTCTATGGTTTTACATAACACAGCAGCATAAAAACTATCTGGTCCTTAACAAGTAGATACAACCTCAGATGAACAACAATGCAATGACATATTACACTGTGTCATTATTTATTTTATAAAAATAATAACCTCGCTATGCGAGGCACCACTATACACCCTATTTGGATTCTATGGTTTTACGTAACACGGCAGCATAAAAACTATCTGGTCCTTAACAAGTAGATACAACCTCAGA